TCATAAACCATATTGGTATTGCCGAGGGGCGAAGAGTACGATGCGGTTAGATGAATCTTTTTATCGTTGGCCTTTGTAATAATAGGGTGGCTATAAATCAATGTAACTTCAAAATAATTTATGAAGTTATGAGTTTTTGGCTCCATTTACTACTATCGTATTTTACAATGCTCAGTAAATATCCTCGCGAAATGAAATTGTTCTGGGGGTTAGTATAAGTAGATGTTCATATATATTTTTATGGATGCTATAAGTTTTATGTTTATAGTTAAGCGTATTGAACGATACCGCTTTGTGCATGTAATCATAAACATTTCGTTATTAAAGGTGGAAAAAGTTTATAGATAAAGAATCTTTTTGCTTATATACAACTCTCCGCGTCGGGCTGTTTCTAAAAATACCAGAAACTTGAACACAGTGCAACTTTAGATCTTTCTTGAGAGTTCGCAAAGAACGAAGTACCATCACACTGGACAAATTACTTCGGCACGGTTTCCACGGTAGGAGTAATAGAATTTTCTACGAGCTACGTGCTCAACTAAATTAAGATTACGGTGACGGACGAAGTAAATCTTTGCGACCAGAATTTTTCTTATCTACAAATAATGCGAAGGTAAATAATAAACGTGGTTGGGGGTAGATTGTGTGTGATGAAAAGAAAAAAATAACCACGGAGAGACATTTTACCAAGACACAATTTGGACTATAGCCGTGTTCGTGCTATAACATACTTGAGAAAACTCCTTATCTTTTGGTGAGATAAGAAAGTGCCATGCTTTGCTATCGGTGGATCTCTTTCGGTTGGGTCCTTAAACCGACAAAAAGGACCTTGTACACAGCAATTGGTGCCCCCTTAAAGAGTGTGAAGGTGATTTTTTTTTAATTATCAGACTAAAAAATGTATTCGTAATATTATTCACGAACATTGTAGGGAAAACGCACGTTTCGCCCTTGAAGCGGAGCAAACAATATCGAATGTCCATTCAATCAGCGGGAGACCGAACGTTGCATCTGAAATATCCAATTACAACTGTCAACGACATCGCTGGCCTCAATCGCAAAAAAATCCATTTATATTTTTATAGATTTTTAAAAATTATTGAAAATTTTAAAAAGAAAAGTAAGATTTTATAGCCATAGAAGGGCGATAATCCCTTCAGGATGTCTTTGGCCATGCGCGTTACATCCACTTGCGTCGCAAGGGGTCAATAAACAGACCACAGAGATGAGAGCCAGACTTTCCGCGAGACTAACCTTTCTCACGAAGATCCTTCAGACGTTTCTAGTAGATTTTGTCACGTAGAGAAAGGTCACGCAAGAAAGGAACGTAATATGAAAGAAGGTTGCGTTGATAATATAGTGAATTTCAGTGAACATTCAATTCAAGGTTTGGAAAAGTACTGTAATAAAAATTCTTTCACATCTATTCCAACCCTTAAGAATTTAATGGTTCAATTCTTGATAATAAATGCTATTATCATAAAACAACTATCCCTGAATTATTTGAGAAAGGTGTATTTTAAAAAATGGTAATTATTCTCTCCCTATTAATCATGACAATCCGAGTTGGAAGACAAAAGGGTGGACATGCGAACAAGTCCCTGCTCGCACGTCAGGTTGGTTCATGCCCTATTGAACAGATCCGGACCTGATTTACAGCTTGTTCTCGTGCAAAGGCCCTTATAGATAAGCCGACGCTGCGTGGAGATTTCCATTTTCGAATTCGTATATAAACCCGCCGAGGGATTACAGATGGATTAGGATTATCTCGATACAGCAAACATTTAGGAAATAAGCCGAGGATAAAAAAAGAATCTGGTTTCGTCAAAACAAAAAAAAACGTGAATTGAGGGAAAAAAGGAACGAATTGCTAGTCGAGTCTTTGCACCGTTCTACAGGGGTTCAAAGGAAATTAAGTCCAGTTTTGACGATGATATCAGCTGGTGCACGCGGTAGTTCCATTACCGAGCTTCGGCAAATAAGATCTCTATCAGACTGCACAACCTATGGCTAATCAACGTATTGAGCGCTTGTGGTCCGAGTGTAATTTTACCGCAATTATAATGCTTGTGAAACTAGCAGTACGGTTTCAACAATTTATCGATTTAAAATTTACATTTTTTTCTTTGTATAGTAAAATCTCGATATAAAGGGATTTTATACGGGGAAGGGAATGTCCGTTATATAAAAAAATTTACTTTGCACAGTTCTACTTTTAGTTCAATAAAAATATACAACAATTTAACACTGAAAAACAACTACAACTAGAACTAAGACTAGACCTAGAACTAGAAACATTCGGGTTTAGCCGTGCGTCTTCAATATCAGACGGAAAAAATAGTGGTGGAACGGATATCCGGCAAATATCCGGCTTTGGCCAAATATTGGAAAGCTATCACTTAGTACTCCACCATTCACATGAATTAGTATCTCTTTTAGGTTTTGGACACAGCAGATAATAATCAAGTTCAACCGCATTAAAACTTTTTTCATTGAATACAACTTTATTTATATCAGGTTTGTCATTACCAACCTCATTGTAACAATCCCAATACGATATATAAAATCTCTTTTTGCAGTTTCGTCTAGTCTAGTAACAGAAATGTTACTGTTATCACTTTCGATGATTAATTAAAGTATCCTCTTTTTAATGCAACAAGCCATTTTGAAAAATCACTTGCAGTTCTTTAGAAATAAATTTTTGAAGTGAACGACAATTTTTTCGAATTTTGCAATTTTCGCCGATTAAGATTTAAAAATTCGTATTAAATCCAGTTCTTGGAATATGAGTATGAAAATTTCCCAAAGTGTTAATAAAAGTGTCCTCTTTCCAATGAACCAACCCGTTTTGAAAAATAACTTTTAGTTTTTGAGAAAACAATATTTGAAGTTTTGATAAAATTTTCGATGTTGCAATTTTCATCGATAACTTTCAAAATCCGCTATAAAATTAATTTCTTGAAGGATCCTTGTGGAAATATCACCAATTATTAATTAAAGTATCCTCTTTTTAATGCAACAAGCCGTTTTGAAAAATCACTTTTAGTTCTTGAGAAATAAATTTTTGAAATAATCGACAATTTTTTCGAATTTTGCAATTTTCGCCGATTAAGTTTTAAAAATTCGTATAAAATCCAGTTCTTGGAATATGAGTATGAAAATTTCCCAAAGTGTTAATAAAAGTGTCCTCTTTCCAATGAACCAACCCGTTTTGAAAAATAACTTTTAGTTTTTGAGAAAACAATATTTGAAGTTTTGATAAAATTTTGGATGTTGCAATTTTCATCGATAACTTTCAAAATTCGCTATAGAATTCATTTCTTCAGAAATGCACCAGAAATTATAACCATAATAGCCGGATAGTATATTCGGCATTTCGTAAAATCACTATCCGTTTCATCACTAGAAAAAGGGAACCTCCCTATAGTAAAACATAAACGAATGAAAATCGAGGAATTTTGTGAGGAATTGCAAGAAAATGTTTAGGGTACGGCGGAGCTAATAGTAACGAAGAGGATGAAAATTAGAACCAAAGAAATAATAGATCTAGAGGCCGTAGATAGCCAATTTAGGAAGCTGTTTCCAGTGAGGAGATAGGAGGAGAAGATAGCGGAGGAGGAGATGGAAGATGATATAATCGAACATTTTACAGCATAAGAATTAGAAGATTTGTTAGCTTAAGATAAAAACAGCACCAGGAGATGATGATGTAACCAACGAGATAGCAAAGACCTGTATAAAAGCGAATAGTGATGTAGTCCTGAAAACATATAACCACTGCTGGAGGAGAGGAACATTGGCAGTAATATGGAAAATAACTTATTAGTACTTATAGAAAAGACCAGCAAAGAGAAAACGGAACGATCATATAGACCACTGGATAAAAACACTGGAGAAACTCATAAATGGAAGAATGAGGTAGAGATTGAAGAAAGAGGAATATTAAGTCAGGAGCAGTACGAATACAGGAAGGAGAAAACAGTAGATGCCATAATGGCTGTGATAGAACACATAGAGGCCTCTCTATAGTGGTTATGCAGGATATCAGAAATGCGTTCAACTCAGCACCATGCGGGAAAATAATGGAAGCGATGGAATATTCACAAGAGAAATAAAAAGAATAGTAGATCGTACCTATCAGAAAACAAGATAATACTCCTAGAAACATTCGGATTTGGCAGTACATCTCTTAAGACGGCTAAACCTGAATGTTTCTAGTTCTAGGTTTTGTGTTAGTTCAATAAAAATATACAACAACCTAATCACAATTAAAATTAGAACTAAAAACATTTTTTCTAGTTCTAGGTCTAGTGTTAGTTCTAGTTTTAGTTCAATGAAAAATATACAACAATCTATTGCACAATCTAGCATTAGAACATACAGTGTGTTAATTAATTATCGTACCCGACGTCATCATTGCAAGTATGCAACCAAATACGCAAATCGCGTATTGCGCTACCTATACTGTAATATTGGTTGCATACTTGCAATGATGACATATACATCTATGAAGATGGAATAGAGCAAGTTAGGGAACATGGATTCTATATATGAGCACTAACAGTGATACTTAAATATACAATAATATTAATAGTATGACTTAAAAATATTTTGTCCGTTATATCCGAAGTCCGTTCTAACGAGCTCCATTACATGGAGGTTTTACTGTACTATAAAACCTTTTAACGCTAATAACAATCACTATAAAAATATTCGCTGTCATAAAATGTTAAAAATTTTACATTTTAAATATGCAAGAAACTATGTTAGATGTTTCTTTTTCCTTAAAGGAAACATATTTTGAAACAAACTCATCTTTTGGTTTTTTTGCGGTCTGGTAATTACCGTGAAAGAATCCCATGGTTTTATGTCATTTACTCCGAATTCATAAATAGGAATCAATTAACGCAAAAAAATTGTTGAGTTTTTCAAATAACTTAAATTAAAAGACTTAGTATAAAAATGAAAAAGTTTTAACAAAAATCAACCATTTCGCAACATGATGTTACGAACTAACATCATACTTTCTCTAGTAATTCTTGGGCTAGTTGAAGCAGGTAAATTAATTTCCTTTAACTTAATCTTTTTTTTATTAATTCATTTCTAGCTCATATTCCACAAAATTACTCCAGTTTTAATAAACGCATTTTAAACGGTGAAAATGTCGATATAAAAGATGCCAAATTCTTCACCTTTTTCATTTGCTCCAACGTTGCTTGTGGTGCAACCTTAGTTAGTCCAACAAGAGTGATAACAGCAGCTCATTGTGTAGTTAATTGTAACGTTAATGATGCAAAACTGTACATGGGTATGAATTCAAGAGATGATATAAACTCCGGTCGAGCAGATATCTACAAAGCTTCTAATTTGTACCTTTATCCCGATTACAATCAAAAACCAAACAAATTCTATTATGATGTAGCTGTGTTCTACATAAACGGAGTTGTTCGGCAAACTGATAAAGTTGCCCCTATCGCAGTTTCTGCCGAAAAACCAAATTTAGGAATAAACATATCATGCTATGGATATGGCGCAACTTCCGTCGGCGGCCCTGGTTCAAACAATCTAAAGAAGGCTGTAATGAAAACTACGCGTTATGAAAATAATTTGATTGCTACTGATGCACGACAAAACAGCGTTTTACCAGTATGTTTAAAATTGAGATTAAAATTTTCTTTGATAGTTTTTTCTTTTATTTTTAAATAGGGTGATAGCGGTGGTCCTTGCGTTTACAACAACAAGTTTATAGGTGATATATCGGGTCTTGTTCAAGATGGCAATGGTAATCCTACGGAAAATCTCGCAACGTTATCTTCAGCTCCGGAAATTTCGAATTTCCTTCGCAGTCATGGAATTAATTTTTGATGATGTTATTCGAAATAAAGAGAATAAATAAAATTACTTAAAAATAAAAACTTATTTTTTTTAAGTGTATCCAAACATAAACATAATAATTAAATGTTTTACTTTCATTGTTCTGGAATTGCTTGCGGTGCAACTTTAGTTAGTGCAAACACACTGTGTTAATTGGACCGCGTTATGCATCACTTGACTAAGCGACAAATCAACAATGTTGAGAAAAACGAGATTTCGTTTTCATCTCTCTAAAAATATAAGACTTTTCAGAATAGGCAGGCTCAAACTATTGAAAATTGTATTTGATGGCAACTAATACAAGCACAAAAGCCGCTTGGTTAGTCGTTACGTTTTACGATTATACAGGGTTAGGGCTTTCTACTATATTTTTAGATTGGCAACAAAGCATAAGATACAGAATCTGAAAAGATAACCAAAAAATGGAAAGATATTACTAATCTATACAAAGTACCAATAAACTTAAAGGTCTGGATACCATTATTGTTTTGTTGTCTTTCACTTGGTCCAAAGGTTCAACTTCACTGCCGCGTCAAAAAATGAAATTACACTTCATCATCTGAAGCTCTGTGGAATTCTTTCGAATTCCTGCTTTGGAATTTTCTGGAAATGTGCAGATTCAAGAAAGAAACTTTAACATAATGGCTCTTGGTAGTTTGTAAGACTTATCATACTACTGTTTTAAGAACATTAAGTTGTCGTCATCAAAGGTTGAGTCTTCGTTGTCTTTAACATTCTGTCAGAGTGCAAAATGATATTTTTTGTAGATGGTATTCACACTGATCAAAAAATGTCACGAAATGAGGTTAGTACGGACATAAGATAGATAACAAATTTCTTTGGTCAACATAATTTTCCAGCACAGCTTTAAATAAACACGGCCGTTTTCAATCGGTCGCCTCCGGCTAGCGTTTTTTCACAAAATTAAAATTTAAAAAGTTGTAAAATTAAATTAAGGACAAAGTGTTACAAGTTTTTAACAAAAGAAATATTAAAAAACTTGGGAAAACTCAAGAATCATCATGTTGCTTAAAAATATACGATTTTTTTTAATCAATGTGAAATAACCAAAAAAACACGTTAAAAATGAAAAGAAAGTGTGGAAAAGTGACTAACACTAGATTAACTTCAATTATAAAACTTCTATTATATGATAACTAACTTCAGGTTTAAAATGTCAACCTCAATTTTGACATATTTGTAATCTTCATTAAAAATCCTTTAAAATGAGTACAAACACGACATATTTATCTTCAATATTAATGAAGTTATGGTCAACTTCCGGTTAAGAATGTTAATTTTGACATATTTGTAATAGTTGTGAAAAATCCTTTAAAATGAGTCCAGAAATGATACGTTTAATTCCAATATTACTCGAAATATAAGCAACTTCCGGTTTGAAATGTCCATGTCATTTTGATATATTCTTAATTTTTATAAAATGTCTTAATATTTGTCACAAAAACAAAAATGTAATAAAAAAAAAATAAAAAATTAAGGTTGGTATTAATATTTAAAAATTGAATTCATTGTTGCTAACTTCGGGTTTAATGTTTTTTATCTAACTTTTTTGTTTTTTGAGATAAGTGCGTCATCTTTGGACTCATTTTAAAGGTTTTTTAATGAAGATGATAAATATGTCAAAATTGACGTTGACGTTTCAAACCGGAAGTGATTGTATCTCCATTAATATTAAAGTTAAACATGTCGAATTTGGACTCATTTTAAAGGATTTTTTATGAAGTTGATAAATATGTCAAAATTAAAAGTTGAAAGTTTGAACTTTTTGGTTTTTTGAGATAAATGCGTCATGTTTGAACTCACTTTAAAGGTTATTTTATGAAGATTACGAATATAATAATAAAATCAAAGTTGACATTGACAACTGAAAGTTTTTTTTCACGACTAAACCCGAATGTTTCTAGTTCTCGTTCTAGTTTTAGTTCAATAAAAATATACAACATAGTAATATCTTATACTACCTAGCGCTGTTGTTTGTAAAATAGATAAGATAAGATGTTAATCTATTTGTAGAGTTTCTGAAGATGGCCAAGGGCCGAAACTAATTAGATTTAAATTCTATATAAATTAAAAGACATAAACTTTTAATTTTATACTAACATCTAGAAAACGACACTGGCCCGAAATTGTAGGTTCATCTATTTTTTCTATTGTAGAATTTCTTGGTGTATGTAAGTGTCTAAGGCCCACTTTTACCACCTCTTAATAAATTTATCCGATAGATAAATTGGCGCTCTTAGCCAATGAGAGCGCTTAAAACCGCTGTAACCATGGTAATTATCCCTTAGATAGCTTATCAGGAGGATGGTAAAAGTGTGTCTAAGTTGGTTCTTAGACGTATGATTCAAATAATAATAATCTGCCCTACCAGACAACATGAAAATTTCTAAAAACTATAAAATGTCGCCTTATCAAGTGATGTATAACGTGGTCAACGTCATCATTGCAAGTATGCAACCAATATCACACTGAATATATCTGAATACGCAAATCGCGTGTTGTAATACCAATACTGTGATATTGGTTGCATACTTGCAATGATGACGTCGGGTACAATAATTAATTAACACGCTGTAAAGTTATTACAGCATCTCATTGTATAGTATAAAGATCTCTTAAAATTAATATTAACATTGACCGAATAAATCATCTTTTCTTTACTAAAATAGCAGTTTGTCCTGTTCATATTATTCTTTTTTGGGATGTTTATGATTCCAGTCTGTGCAAACACACCCTCACCCCAAATAGAAGTCTGGCACGAACAGAAACCTAATAAAATGCCACGATTATACGCCAATTTAAATTCCAACTTCCCTTCAACGTTATTAAACCACATTCCATGAGCATAAGACCCTACTCACGCTATACAACGTTAACAGTGCTCCTTTTTTTCTACTAACATATTCTAATCGCGCGTATTAAAGACATCCGAGACATTCCTAAAATAACTATATTTCTTTCTTGTTGTTTTAGGCTTACCAATGAGTTTACATCGAACACCTACACTGACGTCAAACGCATAGTAGTGGTGAGTATTATTAAAGAAAAACAAATCGGAATCGATAATCGAGAGTTATTGTGACAATCAAATCGGATTTTTCACTACTGCCTGACAGTTGAAATACACCACTTCAACCGAAAACCGAGCTCAAACCATTTATCATGTTGAAGAACGATATTAATAGTCTGAATATTTCAAGAGGTTTATGAAACGGCTACCCCGGAAAATGATATCGAAGGTTCACAACCAATTATTATGATATAAAAGATGGGTTTGAGCCAGAAAATTTGTTGGCATAGTAAGGCAAAATTTTTTTCCCAGTCTTCTTTAATTTATTTTTAAAGGAGATATCGAAATTTCTTAAGTAACTATTTTGACACCTTCACTTTTACACCTTGTTACATGTGATAGGCGATTTTTTAAAATTAACCGTACCGTTAAGGACATTTATTTTGAGCTTCGTTTCTTTCGTAACGATGCCATTAGCATGGTCGATGCCGTCGAAATGGCACTTTTCGATATTGAACTCGGTTCGGCGAAGAACGAATTGAAATGAAGGACCCCCAACGTTTTAAAAAGTTGGATTAAAGCGAAAAGAAAACTCCTTTTAATAATTCAATTTAAAAAATCGAATTCGTCTTTTTTTGTAGGTAAAAAATGGCCATAACGAAACTGATATTGCCCAGATTTTTTTTTTTTTTTTTTTTGAAACAGGAACACTGGTTGTCACGCAGTGTGACTGATGAGCTGGTGGAACTTTTTTGCTCGTCAGTCATCAACACGTGGATCCACACACGACAAAACGTATGCTAAAGTTCCGAACGATCATTCCCCGAAACTTTGAGCACCGGCAAAATGGAAAAGTCCTGTTCCCATTTCTATCTGGCGTTTTCATATTTCGAGAAATTTCAAGTTGAAGTGTAAATTACCCGATGCTTTTCGTGTATGAATTATTAAAACATCATCGATCTTATTCACAACAAAAAATTTAAATAAACAAATTATAGTAAAATCTCGATTAATACGGGGAAAGGAGTGTCTAGTGCTGAATAACAACTAGAACTAACACTAGATCTAGAACTAGAAACATACGGGTTTAGCCGTCTTAAGAGACGTGCGGCTAAACCCGAATGTTTCTAGTTCTAGGTCTAGTGTTAGTTCTAGTTTTAGTTTTAGGTCTAGTTTTAGTTCTGCTTTCCATGCACTAAAACTAACACTATACCTAGAACTAGACACACTCGGATTTCGACATACGTCTCTTAAGACAGCTAAACCCGAATATTTAAATAAATAAATAAATCGTTTATTGGGCAAGAAAAAAAATATAAAAAAAATATTCTTGCACAAACGCGAGGAGACAATTCCGGAACAACTCCTGATCTTTCATTGTCCTCTCGAATAATAATCGATCACAAGAAAACTAAAATTAGTAATTCCAGATTTGTGTAGTAAAAACCAAAAACTAAACACATGAAAAAAAAAGAACAAATTTGGCAAACCGTTAAACAAACCGAAACTATCTCACCAATTAATCTTGTCACCCAATACATTTAGATGCCGAACTTGGTTAATAATTGAAGTCTGACTCTCGAATAGCTGAACACAGAGCTCTCTCCGAAACCGTGCAGGACCCATCGACTTTAGCCTATCCAGGAGACCATTGTACGACTTATATATATGACACGAAAATGAACGCCGAAACATAGAAGTCCTGTGGTAAGGAGGATATATGCAACAACTCCCTCTCGTATCACGACCACCAACCGCAGAATTGAAGCGAATTGTATTAAATAAATACTTAGGTGTTTTTCCTGTTATCAATTTATTATAAAACATTAGTGTGTGGAGCTGCCTTCTGTTAACCATTGACAACCATCCCGCGTCCGTCAATTTGTGTGTTATAAGATCAAATTTATGTACAGGATGTCCCGAAACTCAACGTCACGCGAGCACCGGGTGAGAGGCCAACCCATACCTGTTCTGGTAAAAATATCTGATAATATAATCTGATTTCCTAATGAACCATGCTACTATAGCAGTCACAAATCGAACAACAAAAGTCGTTAGTTTTGCGAAAAAAAAGTATTACACAGTATCTCACAGTAGCATGGTTCACAAGGAATAGATTATTAAAAAAATCACTATTCAATTGCGAACATTTCTAACCGTAGTACCTAAAGATATGATGTACGGGACCTGAGATGTGGTAATAGACATACTTTTGAAAATATTAAAAATCATATTTTCAAAAGTATGTCTATTACCACTTAACTAAGAGACATGGATTTTTTTTCTCATTTTTACCAGAATGGTATGGGTTGGCCTCTTACCCGGTGCCTGCTTGACGTTGAGGTTCGGGACATCCTGTATATTATACAGGGTGTATCTGAATGACTGCAACAAACTTCAAGAGGTGATTCCTTCTGAAGGGTAGGTTGAAAGTACAAACAGGGTCAAAACATGCCCTATTATGAGTATATTCCCCAAATTTCATTTTCCTAGTGTTTATGGTTTTTGAGAAAAAGAAATTAAACCAAAATTTTCCGCCATTTTTGGAGGGGTGTAGCTCCTTAGGGGAGCCGAAGTCGCCCATAGTTCATATATCAAAGTACCCTTAAAATTCACTAAAGAATCACCCCTTGAAGTTTGTTGCAGTCATTCAGATACACCTGTAGATATACCGTAGGCAGTTATTTTGCACCAACTGAATGCGTTTTGCATCCGAAATACAAATCGCAGGATGATAGACTGGCACTAGGTAGTTGAACTGAGATAAGACAAGAGTCTCGTATAATCTTTTCTTTAAATTGACAGGAAGGTATGATCTGTGAGGATACAGCATACGCAAACTCGAGTAAGCGTTTTTTATATACCGACTCACTTCAGCTGCATATCTAAAATAATTTGAAAGAGAAAGGCCTAAACATTTAGATCCTTCTGCGAAAGGAAGCGTACAACCACCAACAGTACTTTGTATCAAGTTTTTCAGATCCGAGCAGATACGCCTATTGCCAAACATTACGACCGCAGACTTTCCAGGATTCAGTTTTAGTTGATGCATATTCGAGGTAACCCACAGAGTTTGAAGGTCCAAGTTAATTTTCTCTTTCGCCGCATTGTAATCTTCAGCCTTGAAGCTGTAATAAAGTTGAATGTCGTCTGCATACATATGAAATTTATTAAATTTGATAGATTTTAACATAAAACTGGAGTAAAGCGTATGTAATCGGCGCAAGAATTGACCTCTGTGGGACACCATGCACAACTTGCCTGGCAGTAGACAACAAACTATCGATTTTTACTGTTTGAGAACGATTAGACAAATAATCATGAATGAGCCGCAGTGCACACGAACCAAATCCAACAAAACTCAAAGTTTTTAACAAAGTGCAAGTCATTATAGTAATATCAACCCATCAGTGGCCGCAATGATGTCGTCTGTGACAGCCGACATTGCTGTTGTGCAGCCAGATTGCGTAGCAGGAAAAATGTCATATAGGTTGGCAAAATCGTTAGCTGACGCTGAATGACTCTCTCAAACACCTTAGAAAGAAAAGGGAGGATACTGATGGGTCGCAAATCGCCAAAAGAACCAAAAGAAGGTTCAGATTTTTTTGGAATAGGTTTTACAATAGCATGCTTCCAACATTCTGGCACCTTCTGGTACCTTCAATTAAACAGGTGTTAATAATGTGTGTAACGTAGGGAAGCACTGTAGGGCAGCATAATTTTAACATATAAGAACTGATACCATCTAAACCTGCTGAAGAGGATTTAAAGGCATCAATAACATCACGCACAGTGGCAACCTCAATCGTGGAGAATTGAAAGTTTCTATCAGAAAAAGGAGTATCAAGGAGTTGTTCCGAAATTGTCTCCTCGCGTTTGTGCAAAAATAAGTATCTGTTATATTTTTTTTTTCTTGCACAATAAATGAATTATTTATTTATTTAAATATTTGGATTTAGCTGTCTTAAGAGGCGTATGTTTATTTGTAGTACAGAAGCATGTCTCTTGAGACGGATGTTAATGTTAATGTTTGTAGATCTAGATCTAGTGTTAGTTCTAGTTTTAGTTGTTATTCAATGCTAGATTGTTGTACATTTTTATTAAAGTAACACCTAGTAGTAAAAACATTCAGGTTTAGCCGTACGTTTTTTAAGACGACTAAACCCGAATATTTCTAGTACTAATTCCAGTGTTATAAAACTAATATTATTGGTATTTGAACTGAATAAATATAATTATCTATTTAACAGTATCAAATGGTTGCAAAATCCCAATAAACAAATTAACGGGCGCGCATATTGTTTACCGAAATTGATTAATAGTTCAGCACATAATAAATCCTCCTGGTCAAAACGCTTACAGAGAAATTGTTTAATGTGTAGTTTATAACTAAAAGCAAACCCTTTAAGGAAACCCCAACCGTATCGATTCTATTAATAATTTCAACCCCTTTGTTTTCATGCAAAACGAGATTTAAGGTAGCGTTAAGAAAATTCCAGGAAATTTTAATAACCAAAAATCATTCGAAGGAAATATTCTTCAATTACACTTATTTTAATTATTTATAACTCTATTCTTGACATTTAGACGCATATTTATTCATAAACTACCCACTCAATGAACGTTCTCAGTATTGATATTTTCGTAGCATGTCATTTGCAAATGGATTATTAAGTGAAATTGATTTACTGAAACAATTTTATAGCGAAAAAAATCGAATTTAGCACGACTTTAAAGTTTCAATAAAATTTGTTCTAAGCGTTACTTTTAATTCAAAAAAAAAACATCGTGTGATTAACCGCGTCAGTAAAGCTTGTCAAGCTTCCGTCTGGAAAACTGGTGGAAATGCATAAAACTGTCGGTATGCGAACTGAAAGAGAAAAAGATGGGGAGAGTGGGGGGTTTCAGTTGGTATTGCACGTCCGCGGAAATTTATTTGCAAAGTCTCGTTCCGCCCCATTTTAGCTACCGAGGAGAGCTTTTCCACCGGAAACACAAGTTTCGGCGACCGCCGCCGT